CTTACATTTCAGTTTTATTTTGGTGTGGATTAAGGGAGCTTTACGTTCTTTGGGCTCACGAGAAAAGCATGCGGCTCCAAGTCCTGCAGGCCTATTTGCTTTGGATTCGCCCGGGACGCCAAGCCCGGGCCAGCCTGTGGGAGATGGTCCCTCCCACACTCACTCTCTGTCGCCCTTCCTCCTCTTCTCAGTCACTACTATCTTTTTCAAATACGATCCAAGCTTCTTTTTTTTTTAATATGTGATATCTCTTGTATTTTTTTAAATTTTTCTTTCTTGGCTGTCCCAGAATATGAATCCATCTCTGACTAGACTGGAAACCTGGGTTCTAAAATCAGACCACTCTAACTACTGTCCAGGAATCCAATTCTGAGTAGCCATGGGGGTGGCGCCTCTGAAAATGCCTAAAAAAAAGATGCCCCATCATGGTCTCTCTCACAGAACGCACTGATGTCTGGGTAACCAGAGGTCTGAGGAAGTCACTCACTACCAGTGTAGTCAATCAAAAAAGTAAAGCTTGATTCAGTCGCTCATACAAGAGAAAGAACAGATCTGCGCAAAATTTTCCGTTCTTACAGGGGTTTGAGTGGGCCGGAGGAGGCTGTAGGGGGAAAATGTTCACCTTTACACGACAATCGTTATTTATATACTTACGGCCCTTTCTTTACGTTTACAGAGATCTCCCATTTGATCTTGCCAGTAAATTTAAGCTACTTTTAGGCAATAATTGCAATGATACTATTGTACAGAGGAGGCAGTGCAGGGCAGTTCAATGACTTGCTGAGGGTCAGAGTCAGGAAATGTCAGGGGCAAGGTTTCATTCTCAGCTTTCTGTATCCTCTGCAAGACAATCTGAAGAAATCCATGAAAGAGTGATCTTTTTCCTTTGGCCAACGTGAATATGTCCCTCCAACCAGAGTGTCTGTGCTACTCTCATGATGTCACTGGTCATGCTGCCTTTGTATTTACTTATTTCTGTTCTCCACCCCAACCCCGCCATTGCATTGGGAGATCTTGGAGGACAGGGACTTTGTTATTCATCCCTGAACCTCCAGGACCCAGCAAACACCTGGCATATGGTATCAATCAGTAAATGCTTTTGAAATAAGATGGATGGATGGATGATGAGTCCTTTTTTTTTTGCTTCTATATTTTTTCTTCTTGAATAGTAGATGAGGGCTATATTACAATTCATTTAGGCAAAGATTTTTGTCTATTTACAACAACAAAAAATCCAAACAGTTGAATGTCTCAAAAAATGGCAATTATTAGGAAGAAGATTACCCAAGTTCACCACGATATTCTCCCTCAGTATTATTCCTCCATGGTGTGTTGCGGTAAATGTGTTACACCTTATAGAGGCATGAAGGTACTCTGTAGGCTATTTCAGGGTCTGCTTTCAGGCTTGCTTGCTTTTCCTTTCTCTGCCTAGTATCCTTTTTCCATGAATATTCTCTTTTTTCTCTCTCTTTTTTTTTCTTGCTTTCTGCATTTTTTATATCCCCAGTCACTCCTGTCAGGGTGACTCCCACCACCAGATCAGCACACTGGGCATGTTTGCCCCAGGCCCTATTCATTTCTTCCCTTCATCAATACCACCCTTTCTTATCACTTGTATCTGTTCCATTAGAGTCCTATTTGAGCTGTTTGTATAATTTAGCAATCAACAGTTTGACCTCAAAACTCCCCTCCTTGGTCTTGAAGAAATGGAACATGTTGGGTTTAACCATTTCTGTGTTTGCTAATTTGCCAAGAATACTGTAACTGGCAATAAAAAGGAACCAAAAGAAAAGATGACTGATTCTGATAAATGAAGAGGGAACATTAGACTATGGGGAAAAAGCTGATGGGGAAAAGAAGGCAGTCACTGGACACTTTTATTCTTATTTTATTTCGTCATTCGTTCTTGGGAATTGTCCCTAGACAACTCAGGGCAGCCCTCTCTGGAGCCTCTGCTAAGGGAGAGGAATCCTCACATTTGAGTGCTTCAGTTAACTTTTTGGATAGCATCCCAATTAGCATCACTTCGATAAATGTTTACTGGAGCACTGAATGTGCCCGACTTGGTGCTAAATGTGGAGAAGGTTACCAGGTGGAGCTGGAGTTGGCCTCAGCCCAGAGGGAGTTGACAAACCAGGAGAGATTATGCAGAATGCCTGCAGATACCTTTAGTACAGCGCTGTGCCCCAGTGCTCCAAAGCAAATTTAAATTAAACACTCAGAGGAGGTTGCTGTGATTTCCAATCTGAGTTGAAAGCAGGGTCAAAGAGGCTTAATGGGCAAAATAGAAGGGATGGATATATAAGTAGGAGCCAGAGATTTTGGGGGGAGCAAACACCAGATGGTGAAATGCACTCTTGAGGCCGCATGCAGGGCTGTAGCAGTACGGAGACGGTCCAATGTGCTGGAGGTGTATGCAGCACGTTTCTCATCAGATGACTAACGTTGAATTCATTGGATCAGGAGACAGAGTTAGAGGAAAGTTATTAGAAGGAGCATTGCCCTGCTCTGTGCAGAGGAAGTTTAAAGATCCAAGTGTTGTCCCGGAGTTCTATGTAGAATAATGCTGGAACAGTAAGAGTGATGGAGTAGACTCACCCAGCAAACATAACAATTAATAGGATTCTCAAGATTACTTATGTTTAAAGATGCAAATAAATACTTAAGGATTTATTAGTTGCTTCTTAATGCTCCCCAGGTGATATAAGTATTCTAGTTCTGGAATGGGTTGGTGAGTGGTTCGTGAAGTGTGCTTACTGCCACTACCCAACAGTGGTGACCAGATATTAGCTTGTACTGTGCGCCAGACACTGTGCTAAATGCTGTAGATTTGTTATTTGATTTAACCCTCCCCACCACCCTGTGAGGTGGCTCTTTCTCTTCATAACCTTTTAATTTTTGAATAGTTTTAGACTTACAGAAAAGTTTTAAAAATACTATAGAGGTTTTCTGTATACTCGTCCACCTAATTTCCCATATTACTAATATCTTACATTAGCATGGTAGTTTTTCATGATGAATGAACTATTATCAATATATAATTATTAACCACAGCTCATACTTTATTCAGATTTCCTTAGTTTTTACGTAAAACCCTTTTTCTGCCCAGGGATCCCACAGTACACAGTCATTGTGTTCTTTAGGGTTCTCTTGGTTGGGACAGTTTCTCAGACTTTTCTTGTTTTGGGGGACCCTGACAGTTTTGAACAATATCAGTCAGGTACTTTGTAGAATGCGCTTCAATTTGGATTTCTCTCTTGAGTGTACGGGGGAATGGGTCCTTGGGGGAACACTACAGAGGGAAGGTGCCACCCTCGTCACATCGTGTCAAGAGTGCCTGCTGTCAACGTGATTCATCATTGATAACGTTAAGCTGCTGGAACTCCTGGCTGAAGGAGTGTTTGTCAGGTTTCTCCACTGAGAAGTTACTGTCCCCACCTGCTAGCTCCTCTCCGCCACAGTGTACCCTGGAAGAAAACCACTATGTGCAGCCCATAGTTAAGAGGTAGGGAGCTCTGCCCACCTCTTTGAGGGGGCAGTATCTACATGAATTATTTGGAAATTCTCTGCATGGGTAATTTGTCTATCTCTCCCGTTTATTTATTCAATCATTTATTTATGTCACTAGGGACTCAAGGATATTTATTTAATACTTATGGTTATAATCCAATTCCTCATTATTTATTGAGTACATCATCTCAGTTTTGGCCACTGAGAGCTCTTTCAGTTGGCCCTTATGTCCCTTTGACATACCCCTGCCCCTTATTTTGTTTTTCTTGGAGCTCTAGGCTCATCTTTTATAGTCTTACCCCAGCTTTGGAATTAGCCACTTCTCTGGGGAGACCTGGTTCCTCCTATTGGAGAGTAGTATTAGCAACCAAGATCTGGGTGTTGGTTATGGAAGTAACTATTTCCATTCTCTGTGCTTTATATGTGAGGAAACTGAAGTTTAGAGAGATTCAGTAACCTGCCCAAGGTCATGCCTTAGAAAACTGTAGACTCTAGATTAAAACCCAGGTCTGTCTGATCCTGTAACTATGGCATGATTTCTTGCCTTTTTTCCCCCCTCTTGGGATATCAGTCTGCCTTCCAATGAAACTTAAGTAGTGCTGGAAGTTTTCCTGGTCTGTTGACATGTATTGTATTTCAGCATTCCCTGTCTTACTCTCCGTGAGGTCAGATTTTGGTGGGGTTTATTCAAGACAATGGCACTTTAGTTAGTGGTTCTCATCTAAAATAAGTATCCCCAGAGGTAGTGCTGAGGGTCTGAAAGCGATTTTTCCACATTCGGGGAAATCTAATGGGAATCAGACGTTTATCCATGACACAACTGCCCAGGCTTAGGAGAATGTCACATTTCTTTATTCTGTATCAACTCAGTGTGGCTGGCTCGATCAGTTATTTCAAGCCTTTTGAAGCTCTGATTGGCTAACAATAACGTCATAGGTATTTCTGAAGTTGGAGAGGATAATAAAGAGCCTTTAGGGGTAGAAATGTTGGAAAAGGACACATTCGTTACTGTTCTCCATGTGATCCAGCTCTGACTGAAGTGGAGCCATTATGAGAGCCGCCTCTGTATGTGGCAGGGAAAGAGTAACTTTTTTTGGGTATAAAGTAGACATATATATTTGGTGTGTGTTTTCCCAATTCGCTGTAATGTTTTAATGTTCAAAATTCTAGTCCAAGTTACTTTTAATTTCTGTTTCATTTTAGATGCCTGCTTAAAATTTTTTAAGTATACACATTGGAATGCTTTTTTTTTTTGTATTCTGCTTTCTGAAGGAAAAACTTCTATCTTACTGGAGATAAGCATATGGATCTATTTAATATGTTCAAAAGCAATGCATACGAATGACTTAAAGCCTAAGTCTGCAGCACTTGGATGAATTGCCTTTTGGGATGGACTCAGAAAGGTGGTAGGAGAAAGGGGGTGAGTCGAGCAAGCTAAATGGGAGAGGAGTAACATGTGGTTCTGGAAAACAAAAGCATGAACACCAAGAAAAGATAACTGCTTTTAATAGAAGGGAAATTCTCAGTGAATATTAACAAACCTTGGCTTTTCACACAACTGTGTTCACTTGAAACCATGTGAGGATACAGTGCAATTAAAATGCTTAGAAAAAGAGAATATTATTTGAAAAGTCTTTGAGATCATCTAATTCGGCAGTTCTCACCTCCAGGCTGCACATCAGAATCACCGGGGAAGCTTTCAAATAATACTGATGTCCGGCCCCACCTCTTAAGTTTCTGACTCAGTTGATCTGTGATGCAGCCCTGGCATGGAAAATTTTTTAAATTCTTCAGTAATTTTAATGTGCATCCAGGCTTGAAATCATTGATCTGGCTTGTTATTAATTATGAAATATTTTAAATGCACAAGAAGTATTGTGAAAATATATTAGAAATCTATGTATATACTACTGAGATTTAACATATAATTTATAGCCACATTTGCTTCACTTATTTTTGTTTTTTAAGAAATGGGATGTCCCAGAGAGCCTTTGAGTCCCTCGCCCACCGTCAGTTCCAGTTGCCTTTCCTCCTTTTCCATAAGCAATCACTGTCCTGGAGGTGATGATATCCTGTCCATGCATATTTTCATTTCTGTACCTAGTAGATATGTAGGTGTGTGCAGTTTTGTCTGTTTTAAAATTTTCCATGCATACATTATGGTATATAGCATGTGGATGCTTTTGCATTTGGCATTTCTTACTGAACGTTAGGGTTTTGCAACTCATCCCTGTATTCAAGCTCATGAATTTTAACTGCTGTATGATGTTCCCTTGTATAAGTGTATAACAGAATTTATTTATTCATTGCCCAACCAATGGGTATTTAAGTTGCTGGCTGTTGCCATTTTGTTTTGGTTTGTGTACAGTAAAAACTGCACTGGGGACATTTCTGTATATATCTCCTTGAGCGGGCAGAGCTTTCCAACCAGTGCTGCACAGCAGGGCCCCACGGTCGGGTGGAAGACGTGGAGCCCCTGAGCCCTCAGGGAAGCCAAGTGGAACCTGAAGGGAACACAGACCCCTGGGTGGGTCCCCTTCTGCGGCAAGCAGCCTCCTCAGGTTACCCCAGTGTGTTGTATGAATATCAGACTCTCCCTGTTCACCACCATGGAAAAGGGGTTGGGAAACACCACCCCCCAAAATGTACCTAGACGTGAAAGTCCTGTTTTAGAATAAGCACGTTTAACTCTCTAATTACTGATAAATTGTTCTCCAAAATAATTGTACCAATCTACTTGCCCACTTCGCCAGACTTGAAAACAAAGTTGCCAGTCTCATAGATGTACAATGATAATATTGTTTTAATTTGCATTTTCCTGATAAGTCAGGACATCTTTTCCTATGTTTATTGGCATATGTTTATGGTTTGTGAATTGGCTGTTTCTATCCTGTGCTCATCTTTTCCTTTGAATTGTTTCTTCTTCTTACTGCTTTGCCATGACTGTATTCTGGATGTTGTTATTTCGTTGGTTGCATGCATTTGCGAACTATGGCTTGCCTTTGATTTTTAGGGTTTTTCACTGAAAGTTTTTGTTTTCTAGTTTATGTTTTCCCATGGAAACACTTAAGGCTCGTGGTTGCCCAGTAATGATATTTCAGTACAGAATGCTGTCCACATTCTCGCCACTCTGAAGCAGGGGAGCAAAGGCTGAAAAGAATACAGGTCTGAACCAGGGTTACAGAGGTCTTCTAGATCTGCTTCTCCCAGCTGTTGGCAAAAACTGGTCTGAAGAATAATTTTCTTGTATGAATTAAATGATTGATTTAATAAGTAAGCTGAGACAAACAGCGAGGAACAATTAGTCGCCTAGTCCCGGGCCATATGCCTATTAGTGCCAAGGCTGCCAGGATCCCACATCACTTCCCACATTGTGCTCTGTGGATTTCCACTCCTTAGAAAGTATTCTGTGGTCAGTTTCATTTTTCACTTTTTTCTTTTTTTCTAAACCTGTTAGTCTAGGGAAGCCCCCTTTTCTGTGGAACACCTAATAACACCCCATGGAACTATTACCCTCTAGAACAGACTTCGAGAATCTCTACACTACAAAACATTTCATCTCGGGTCTCCAAGCCTGCCTCCCGCTGTGCTGGTACTTTGTCTAAACAGTCTAGTAAATGTCTGAAAACAGAAGCACCAACTTCCATCAGGTTGAGCTTCACACGCTGGTATGTAGTGAAGAGAAATAATCAGGCTCCTCTTGTGCCCTCATGGAATCTTGGGTTTTAGGCTAAGAGGGTGCAGATAAAGCTATTCCATTGTCCTTTGTGTGTGTTCTGTCTTTAAAGTGTGGAAGTTATTACGTGTAAGGGATTATGGTTGTTTATTGAGATCTGTAGGATACTATTTGGCTCTTTAGAAGGGTCTGTCACTTACCTGAAGGCTTGGAATTCTAAGGCAAAAGATAGATACTCAGAAATCAGACCTTGGCTAGGGGAAAAATTTCTCTCTGGACTCTGTTCTCTTGAGTCTAGAATCAAAGACACTGAGTTATCCAGGTATATGTTTCCAAGAAGTGGGTACTAAGGCCAGTTGGGAGCTTGGACTTGCAAACTCTGTGCAACAAGGTATCCTTATGAGGTAAAAGAAAGAGGCGGATTTTTACTATACACCTTTCTCTGCATTTGAAATTTTGAACAAGTGTATGTATTATCTATTTAGTAACTTACTGAAATTAATAATGAATGACTAGATTTCATCTTATGAGTCAGCATGTGTTTTTTGAGATCTGACCATGTCTCTGACTGCAGTTAGGGACTGTGGCAACCAAAAAAGTAGAAAATACCTATGGGCAAATGATGATTATAACACTGAGGAGGAAACACAGAACTCAATTTTGTACATATGGAAGATTACCAATATATAACCTACGCAAAGAAAAATGGCAAGAAGTGTGTATCAGAATGTTAACTGCCGTGGCCTTTGAGTTGCTAAGAATATTAACGGGCTTTTTTTCCCTTCCTTCTAATTAAGAACTTTCTGTGTTATCACATGCCACTCTTCCAATGGTTAAAATTTTTATATTTTATTTTTAGATGTCCTGGAAAAAATGTTTTTATATAAGTATACCAGATGCTGATATAATTTTAGTGTTAATAAGTGTTTTGCCAAGGCTTCCAAGTCCACTTATGTATAATAATCGTATCATGTATAATGACTGGCCATCAATTATCACCACCATTATTAGAGGCAGGCAGCTAGAAAGTAATAAAACGCACAAGCTTCAGAAATAGACAGACTGAAAGCTTAGGTCCCAAGTTTGGCACTATGGCTGGGGGTGACCTTGGGTCAGTTACTTAAGCTTCTCTGAACCTCATTTTCCTCCTGTGCTGAGTGGGTGAAGTAATGGCACCCACCCCATTGCGTGTTGTGAGGATTAGGTGAGAAGCCGTCAGAGCCCTTAGCCCTGGTTGTAACCAGCACATAGTCAGTCCTGAGGGTTGCCAGCTCCTGCTGGGGGCTGGAGACCAAGATTTTCAGCTGCAGAGGAGAAAATGCCCCATGTGAGATACAAATTAGCAGGCCGATGTACCTGAGGAAGCTAATTACCTGAAAATCAAGGTGGAAAACTGGCTTTGGGAAGAGGAATATGATAAAATACTTCTCAAGGAAAGGGTTAAAAGAATTTTTTTTTCTACAGTAATGTAGGAAAAGGAGAAAACGGCAGGATGAAAAGTCAATCCATCAATCTTGGACACCAGGTACAGTGTTACCTGTGGGAAGGAGATAAACCCAAGGGCTGTAAAGCTCCTGATCGTGCAAAACCAGGAAGGATATTAAAGAGAGGGTGTGATACTAGGCCCTGAACAGAATTTCAGGAGTATGAATGATGGTCTGGGATTACCATGTTATAAATCAATGAGGTGACTCAGATGATATCACAGGCCAGAAGAACAAAATTCAAATAGATATTAATAACACCTGACCTTGGACATTAACCTTCAACACAGTCATTTGTAATATAAAATCCCCAGTCGGACCATCCTATAACCATATGGTTCTTTTTTTTTTTTTTTTTTTTTTTTGAGAGGAGAAGGTGGCAAGGATTAGCTTTGGAAAGGGGGAAAATAAAGGCAATTTAAAACAAGACATTTGGGCTTTGAAGGCAAGAGGGTTTGGAAACTTTCGGAAGTGCTGAGGCTGAGCTATCAAGTATCATGTCGGTGTCAGGTTTGTTTTCTGCGAAATATTTGAACTAATTTTATCAACAGCATTTCTCCCGGGCTATTTACCACCTGAATATTTGCCGAGGCCTTGAGAGGAGGCAGCCAAACAAGCACATCTGAAATTCTTTCTATTTGGAGCACAACTTGGGTGGGGAAGGCTCTCTGGTGACAGGGGTGGGGAGCTGACACAGTGGATGTTGCTGTGAGAAAGATGGGATTTCAAGAGCTGTCATCAGGATTGCGACGTCTGGTTGCAGTCGATATTTCTCCAAATGCCAACCACACGAGGATTTAAAAGAATGTGCAAAGAAGCATGTGGCGTGCTCCTCGTGAAGCTAGAGTGGGCTAAGTGGCTCGCTTAGCATCACTCCCCCCCAGCCAATCACGAGCTTGGGCACCCCGGCCTCTTCCCTGCAAGGCCTTGGCCACATGCCCTCCTATACAATTGTGCGGAGATGGGATGAACCACGGCGGTATTTAGAGCACTCTTCCATGGCGCTCTTGCAGTTGTAAGATTTCCCAAGAGGCACTTGCCAAGATTATGTTCTTTCCCACTGGCTTTTAATTTGTACATTTTAATGGGCTTCAGATAAGGCAGTGTAGGTGGCACTCCACAAGGTGGCCATAGATGAGACGGTCCGATGGAAATCTCCAAGGTGCACTCACTGTCGTCAAGAAAGATGCTTTAAAAAGGCATAATCTTTATCAAATTCTCTTGTTGCCAGCATGCTGCTTGCAGAAACTCTGATTTTAAAAGAAATCTGCAAATCAGCTATGTTCTTTTAGTAACTTGAAAATCACACAATTCTGCTTAAAAGTAAACCACTCTGAAAAAGGAAAAGAAGACAGATCAACCACTGGACCATATTTCTCTTTATGTTTTTATCCACCCTTACCATGCAAACCATGCTGGCAGCCTTCCCAGATTCTTAACACTGCCTTGACACTCTGTCCTCTCCTCACGGTGTAACAGCCCTATTTGAATTATTAATTCTGGGATCCCTCCTTCCTCTCAACCTAGAAGGCAAACAGATCCACCCTTTCTGGGCATCAAAAGAGTAATCAGTGTTGTATTAGGATCCACTTGTCTTTCAGTATTGGGCTCTCAATGAAAGGAGATTTACTTGAGAGTAACTCAATATCCATCTTATGAATAAAACTGTCAACAGATGAGCTAAGCAGTTAAACTTCACATATATGATCAATTACAGACATTTCTGAGTGAATTTGCTACCAAGCTTTTTTTTGATAAGCTGCTAGGAAGAGTTTCAAGGACGGAGTGAGCCTGTTATCTTTTGTTTTCAATTTTTGTCATCTTCCTCTTGCCTACTAATCCTCCTCTTAAGAGTTCCACATTGTTTTATTGAGCCTCAGGCTGAGCTGGTATCTCTGTTGCTTCTTTCCAAGTTGTGCATTGTGGGAAGCTTCCATACGCCCAGACCCCGAAAACAGCACGTTAAGACATCTAGTATCACCAGGGCAGCCCAGTCTGCAGAATCTTCTACTGCCTCTTCTTTTTCTTGCTTGCTTTTACTCTTCTGGACTTTGACCCTTTTTTTTTTTTGATGCATTTCTGCAGTATGCCAGCTGCAGTGCATTTATGCCAATCATCTCTGTTTGGATGCAGAATTCTACAGGGGGAATCAATCACAATTTTTTTATCCTATCGAGAGACACTCAGGGTGGTTCCACGTGGGGGCTCTTACACACAGTGCTGCTATGAACTTTCTGGCACACGCCGCCTAACGCAGCCCTGCGAGAGCTTCTTAAAGATTTAGTCCCAGGAGTGGCATTGCTGTGCCGTGGGCTGTGCCCATCTTATGAGACAATACCAAACTCTTTTCCATATTGGTTGTCCCAAACAGCTCCCTCCTGAAGGGCTCCTGTGTGCCCAACTCCAGGATGGCCCGGTGGCCAGCAAAATATGGTCCTGTCCTTCCAGTACCTCCTTATATTCTAGTGGGAAGAGTGGTTCTGTCAAGTCGCCTTCCAGATCAGCAGGAACCACAAATGGGATCTCTTTGGGATCCCTCCCAAGTGCTCTCAGCAATTGAACAGAAACTCCAGGTTCCCTGTTGTGTTCTCTGAAGCGGGTGGGTGGTGAGTCATCTCCTCCTCAGGAAGCCTCTTCTTTGCACTGGGAAGGACTGTCTTCTGGAAGGTGTCTCCTAGATTGTAACTCTTTCGGGAAGATCATTCAAACACTCTCCTGGGTGACTGTTAGCCAGCGGGTTGCTGTTAGCCACCAGGTGCCTTTGTCCCTGCCCTCAGACACCATGGATTTTAATAGGGGAGATGAACTGCATAGTCAGAGACAAACTGCAAGAGCCTATTTCAACTGCCCATGGTAGGGAGGGGGGGCAAATGCTCAGGTTTTTTGCTTTTTCTCCAGCTGAAGCAAACATAAAAGGCTGGTGCTTTGTGCACAACGTCTTGGCACCACTATTTCATTGCCCTTGGTGAGTAGATTGGATTAGGATGGTTTAAGATGCTTCACAGTTATTTATCTACTTATTCATCCACCAAATATTTACTGAGTGGCTGCTACACACAAGTCACTGTTCTGCTGTCTCGCTGTCTCGACCTTTGGGAGCCTACATTCTAGTGGAGCCACACTTCTATGGGGCTCTCTTACTGCCTGGTGTCCCCTCAACCACACAGAACCCCAAGGATATTAATGACCTTCCCTGAGCCCTGGATAAAGTTTTTCTCTCCTGTGCTTATATAACATCCCTTGTCTACTAGGATTCACTTACTACCAGTCACAAAGCCATACCAGCTGCCTGGATGTATTCACACCTTGTGTGTCTATGACTTTTCTAGATCTTCCAGCCATTGGTCCAAAATAATAATAATAGCTATTTATAGAGACGTAACAGTTTAGGAAAGGCTTTTTACAACCACGATGGTGTGCCTGCATCAAATCTAGAAGATGCACAAAGAGGTATTTTTATCATTATCAGTATGTTATTCTCTATTTCACAGATAAGGAATCTAAGGCTCAGAGAGGGTAGGTAGCTTGCCCCAGATCACACAGCCAATCAAGTGTAGAGGTCAAGGGCTTTGTCCTGTATGTTTCCCTCTATAGTTTGACTCCATCTCCCATCCCACGGACTATTCTAGCCCCAACTGGATCTGCTTCTACTCCCCTTCCCATGTCCAGCTCTAAGCCAACCTAGATCTTTATTTTTAAACAAGACTCTCGACCCTTGGGGACTTCCTACCAGTGAAATAGCCCTTCCAGGGGCTTCCCAGAAGTAAGATGTGAGCCCCAGCCATGACCTAGGATTCTGAAATATGCAGAAATGGGGCCATCTTCCAACTTTCCTTGAATGCCCGGCCTGTGCTGTTCAGGACAGTAGCCTCTGGTTACATGTGGCTGTTTAAGTTAAAATTAAAGTTCAACCACATTTAAAATTCAGTTCTTCAGTCACGTGAGCCACATTTCAAGTGGCTACTGTCTGAGACACTGCAGATTATAGAGTATTTCCATCATTGTAGATTATTCTATTGCACAGTGCTAGTTATAACAATTTCCACACCCCTTTAAGCACTGATGTGACAACCTCCTGCCCATAAGTGGGTTTTAGTCATAAAAACATGTTGGAACTGAGGGCTGAGGTCCATGGGTTTTTAAAAAAAAACAAGGAGAAGAAGGTACAGGCCAGAAATAAAAGTGACAGGGAAGAGGGCAAAGGGCAAAGATGTGCCCTCCCCCCCAGCAAAAGGAGACATGAACATAAATTGATATAAACTGGATGTTGTGGGCTAGTCAGAGGTGGCCACAGATGCAAATGAGACTTGCCCTGTCAGGGAATGTTAAACCACTGCTGCAGTTTCTACCCAAAGCTGCTGAAAAGAGATCCACTCTGCAGGTGCTCTGCTAACCTAGAGGACAGAAATCCAGGTGGCCCCAGTGAGGAAATTCCAGGGGGAGCCCGGGCCCCAGCGCGGCGGAGAGCTGGGTGATGTGGGGACAGAACAGGTGGGCTGGTGGGAGCACCCGGCTTCCCCATCCCAGGTTTGAGTCCCTGCCCTGCCCCTTCCTGGCTGTGTGGGCTTTGTGTGAGTTACTAAGATTCCTGCTCTGAGAAGCCTTCTCTGCAGCATAGTTGTGTGGATTAGAGCTAACGAGGAAAACCCCAGGCTCCGCACAGATGGTACCACTTCCATTGAGCAATCCGCCATGACTCAGTGTTCTGGCACGGGGTTCCAGGCAGGGGTGGTCCAGGTGAGATGGCGTTTCTCAGACAGAACTCCGTCTGACCGTCTCCCTTGTACGCCACAGTGACAGACAGCATCAACTCTAGGAGGATTACTCTGTTTCCTTGTCTTCTATAGAGTTAAATTCACAATCAGCTCAAAGTGAAGGAAGATATTTGCCCTTTGTTCTCACCTGCCCTTATAGACTTTTCTATTTACATCAACAGCACATTGGGTCAAAATCTTGTGCAAGGATTAAGCAACAGCTGGTCCCGGGTTTGTTTTTTTGCCGCTTGACTTTAACCCTCCAGCTCTCAGTTCACCTTTTGTAACCCCCTGTGCCACCTTAATGAGTGTGGTTAAACTGGCTTTTCCTGGCATTCTCAGGCTTCCCCATGGGTAAAGACCCAGAAGCATTCTAGATCTGGGTGAAGGGAGTTTCTTTGTGGTGCTATGCGCCATTTAAAATTTTCCATTAGCCTATAGCTCAGGGGTGAGTCTAGTTATTGGATTGAGTCCATTATTTCAAATATATTTAGAAAATTATGCATTGTTTGGATAAGAAGTAATGGTAGAAGCCAGAAGTATTCCTGTATCCTGTCCTTACAGGGTCACAAGATGCTTTTTTCCCTTAATTAAAAAAAATGAACTACTTAAGGAGGAGAAGGGAATTTTGTAATTTGAAAATAAATTAAGCTCTCAGACAACCCTGTCACCCAGAGTCAAAGTGATGATAAACCACAGTGACATAAGGACTTTAGGATCCCCAGTTAAATGGGTCAGGTTATGTACAAAGCATTATTCTTATTATCATTAAAATAACCAGTAAGTAGGGAATTTTCACCTGCGTTCAAAGCATACAGCACACCACAAATAGCCTTTTATGTCTCAGCTGGTGAAACCATAAAGCGGTTGTTATTCTATTAAACAGCTTTTCACAGAAACCTAATTCAATTTTAAGAACATGAATATGAAGGGAAAATACCTGCTTCTCTCTTCTTTCAGTGGCTCCGTCCTCCCACTCCCGCTCTGAATCCAAGTTCCTTCATTCTTGCCTAAAAGGCCTCAGGAGTTCCCAGGCTGTCTGAACAAACAGTAGTCATTCATTGTTTGCTAGGTAGCTTCTGCCAGGGGGAGATGCGTTAAGGGCGCCTTTGCGGGGACATAATAAATGTGTGGAAAGTTACACGTGATGTGAAGATGTGCCATCTTCCGTGATGAGTTCTACGTTCTCCTGCAGTGTCTCAGCCACTTGAAATGTGGCTCATGTGACTGAAGAACTGAATTTTAAATGTGGTTGAACTTTAATTTTAACTTAAACAGCCACATGTAACCAGAGGCTACTGTCCTGAACAGCACAGGCCGGGCATTCAAGGAAAGTTGGAAGATGGCTCCATTTCTGCATATTTCAGAATCCTAGGTCAAGGCTCCATTCCTTTAATGGTAGATTCATACGGCTCTGCTTGTGAGGTACAAAGAGCTTCAATGGTGGCTCTCCATCATTGCGAATGCATTTCCTCTTTGCTTGATAGAACACACACCTCCTTTTCTGATGCTATCGAAATGAGAAATTTTAATATCAAAGCCAAAATCAAATCAAGTCTGAAGGAGAAAGTGCCGTGCTCCCTTTGGACTGCACTCTGATTTCCCTCTTCCGTAGGGCCGGGGGTGGGTGGGGACGAGGAGGAAGACAGTCACTGTCCTGTCCTCGCCTGCTTTGTCTTCCTCAGTGGCTGTACCACGAGCCAGTGTTAGAAGATGATGACCGTTCACCTAAGTGAGTCTCAATCAATAGGATGTTATGCAGTGGAAGAATGAAATGGTCCAGCAGGGGGAGGGAAGAAAATGGTGAAAATAATAAGGAATAAAAATAATTACAGCGACTGAGCCCTAAATATGAACCAGACATGGTGATAAGCCCCTCACAGGCACTACTTATTCAAACATTTATAGTAGCGCTGTGAGGCAGTTACAACTCCCCCTAGAAAGCTGAGGGAACTGAGGCAAACAGCAGCTAAATAACTTGCCCAGATCATAATGCTCATAAGTAGCTGAACGAGGGGTCCCAAATAGACAACCCCCCACTGTCAGGTGGTTTCTGCTGCCTTTTTAATCTTTGGGGCTGATCTTAACTACTTAATTTAGTTATTACAATGTTGATTACATAATTGTCATCCAAACTGGGACAATTTTGAGAATGAAAGTGGTCAAAAATTATTCCAGGACAGCAGGAATAAACTGGGGCTGTCGGCAGGAACTCAAGCTGTGTAGTTAATTATTAGGAACTTGGAACATTATTTTCTGTAGGATCAACATCACACACGGGAGTCAGAGTCCCAGGCCAATCCATTCTTCTCCTTTCTGTTAAGGCTTTCCTTCACAGACCCCAGGACACTGTTGCCATCACAATAAAATATTAAAGCAAAATGGCCCATGCTCCAAAAACATAGAATTCCTTTCCTCACTAAAACCTCCTACTTTAACGGGGATTTTTTTCTTCAAATGTGGCAGGTATATATACTTTTTATATACTTTTTTAATTTTATTAAAATAAAAACATTATTCAGTGATTTTTCTTACGTTTAAAGGTACAAAATAATGCACACAATACGTGATCATTCGGGTAAAACAAAAAGATCTTTATATATTTGCATTGTGTGTATATGCAAGGCAACTTTCTGTATTTTTTTTTGTCAGGTGGTAATTAGGTTTATATATTTATTTTTTAATGGAGGGACTGGGGATTGAACCCAGGACCTCATGGATGCTGAGCATGCACTCTACCACTGAGCTCTACCCTCCTCCCTCCCTGCATTGTGAGTATCTGTGTGTTAATACCCATGTATATCTCTGTATGCAGAATATGTCTCTAGATGATTCTCACAATAAATGTTTAGATTGTTACTTCAGTAAGGGAAAGAATCTCACAATCCACGGTGAAAGGGAAACTTATTTCTGCAGTATTTATTTTTGTTCAGATTGAACTTTTGGCCACCAATAGGTTTCATTTCTCAAGTGAGAAGAAAAGCAAGATAAATAAATACCTCCCCTTCAGTAAAGCTGTATCATAGCCAGTAGGAAAGCAATCTGATTAAAGTAATTGGCACTGACTTTTGAATGACTGATAACTTTACCTCTTTTAAAAAATTGACATTTTTAGAAGGGGCTGTCCAAGAACTGAAGTGAATCTTTAATCAGTGAAATTTTAGACAATGTAAAAGAGAGGAGTGAAGAAATTCAAGGGAGGGCAGGCAATCACCCCTGCAGATAACAGTGCCTTCTAAGTTGGTGCTACGCTTGACAGCTTCCTCCATTTCTCCTGTTACGAGCCCACCAATTTTCTAAAATGTCCATTTTTTTTTTCACAATGAAGGAAGTTTAAGCTCCAACAATGTGGAGAAAAGATTGCAGAAGATGCCATCATTTCTAAGTATAATTTCTAGATGAGAAACGGTATTGGCTAAATTTGGAGGCTGAAGAGTGTACGGAATTTTCTGCTCTTTAGTTATGCATACAAAAACTTCTGTAATTTGAACTACACAAATAGTGGCAGAAAAGATCAGAGATGTGCAAAAGAATTCATTTTGGCCATGTGCACTGAGACAAACAATGCAAAACTGGATTTTCATGCTAATGCCTTAAACGCTACATAACTTAAACAGAAGCAATCAGTAATTCTCAGATGATATATTGACATTAAAATATTTTATATGAGTATGACAGAGACTTCTAATTTTGTATCTAATACCTGCTCTTCCTTTATTATCAGTAATAGAATCCTGATTGCATTTAGGGCAGTAATTTTTTTCCCGAAAGATGACATCTCCCAGGCTCCCTTGCAGCTAGGTGCAGCCATGTGACTAAGTTTTGCTCCTGAATTGTAAGTTGAAGTGTTCTGAAGCACTTCTGGAGAAGCTCCTTAAAGGGAGTTAACCAAGCCAGGGTGGACGTTCTTTCTTCTTTCATGCTTAGAGAGAACATATGATGTTAGAGGGACCTCCTGGCCTCAGGATGGAAGAGCAGAGAGCTAGAAAGAACCTGTGTTCCTGGTGACTTGAGAAGCCACCCTATGAGCCCCAGAGAGCCATGGGTAGGATTCTTATGTTAGAAATAATCCTTGTATGTTTAAGCCTTGGAAGTCAATTCTCTGTCATTGACAACTAAATGCAATCCCTGACTGATTAAACCAGTTACTTCTCTCCTTTGGGAGAAAGAATATCATAGAATAAAATGAACATGACATTCATTCACCATCATTCCTAATCCATGCACTTCGTTGTGCCTGCTTTTTGTTTTATTTTGTTTTTCATTACCTCAATTTTTAAAAGATGTTTTGCCTTTTAGAACCACCCAGTAGCTGAGTCTTCAGTTCCTTGTACTCTGGAAAATTCCTCCCCTTTATGAGCAACCCATCTTTCAACTCACAGAACCCTCCACTAATAGAATTTTGCTCACAAGATGACTCTAGGGGACATTTACTCAGACAGTGTGACTGTCACCACAGTTGTTGGAACTGAAGTTATGTACACAGATGAACTTCTCTCACTTGTTTATTTTCCACATGGGGCGTCTCATTTAAAACAAATCCATTGTACATCCCAGGCCCTAAATGTAGGCTGTGTTAAGAATATCCTTTGAAACGTCTCTCTTCTTTTCTCCAGAAAGGAGGGGAGGTAAAAGCTTGACTGAAAAGAAAAAAAAAAGTAAAAAGAAAAAAAGAAACAAAATAAAAACCATATTTTTAACAAAAGGATTTTTGAAAGCCTTGGAAAAGGTTGTGTTCGCTCACATAAGGCCCCACTGTTTTAAACATATTTTACTATAATTTTTCCTTCAAAATTCTGACATGCAAAGTTGAACAGGGCTCTTTCAGTGTACAACCCCAGGACATGGAGAAATAAAAAGAACAGTATTCCAACTAATGCATACTCAGTGGGACTCATAATATCGCATAATTGCTTGAAGTCCACAGGCTGATCCGATGTCATCTTCAGAAATATGCAAGTTTCTTTTTGTTTTCTGACTTAGAGATATTTTCTTGCTTTAGGGCTTAACCCTTCAGCTGCTCCCCGAATTACTGAAACATGATGAAAAGTGAACATGGAGCAGCCTTTCTGAAACCCACCCTAGAGGTCAGGGAAGAATCCCCCCAGATCTGCCAACTTTTGTTCTAACAAAAACACACAAAATGAATTCAACTTTATCAGTGAACCCCAAGTGTTCCTTTTCACCCATTTCCTTTTCTACCTGTTTCTAAATACACATGCACAAACACACACACACACACGCACACACACACACACACACACAGCCCTTTAAATTTCTACAAGAAACTTTGAAAGAACAAAGAGTTGCTATTTTGGAGCATGTAATGACATATTTAAAAGTTCATCAACTTCCCCCTTAAAAAAAAAAACCTGGCAGTGAGTCTAAAATAATAATTCAAAAAGATTTAGAGAAAAAAAAAATCCTTAAGACCTCTTCCTCTGTAAAATTATGTAAATCATAAATATACTGCTGGTCTGGAAGTGGTTACAACAAGCAAGGAGACAAAAGATATGCCTCGGCAGACATTGCTGACAGTGAGCTCTGTTCTCCCATCAGCATGGAAGAGGATTTGGGAAAGTAAGTTCTCATAAGAGCTAATAAGAGTTTCTCACCACTCTGAAGAAATCCCAAGTGTGTGTGTTCCAAGAATTAATTCTAAGCCCTGGGCTATAACTGATTGCATGGACCCAGTACAGAAACGTGTCCTCTTCCTCGGGGGTGAATGAGTCTTTGGGTGTTCCAAGCATTCCTCCACTCCTCTCTAGTTTTCCCTTTGCTTCGCAGTTGGTCATTGTCCCTGACCTTCCAAACAGGATCCCTGGAATGAAGAGGAGGAAGCACTATATAAACAGTTCATTCTAGAAGTGTGAGTCATCCCTGAATCAGCTCCCCCATTCCCTATATAAGGAACGCCCATTCATAGCTAAGCTGCTCAGTTGCTTTTAGAAAGCATTTCTTTGTTTTGTCTTTCCCCATACCTTTTCCCCCAGGGCAAAGGTTTAACTTGTTCACTCTTCTCAAAGCCTTTCAATACTTGGGTTGGATATTC